GTGGGGATAGGGGTTGGGGTGATAAGGGAAAGTAGATTATATAGTAATTTTACACCCCCTTTCTGGCTAGTAAACAAATAACTAGACAGGCCAGTTTTGGTATGAGGGCTATAGTTTACTCCTTGGTATAGAGTAATTAAAGTCACCGTTTTTACAGAAAATGTATCCATATATATTAATAAACATTAATATTCCCCTCTCTATCAGCGGCACAGAGATTCCATACGTGGAATACACCCCTGAGGAAGTTACTACATGGTAAGTATAAACTGCTAATTTATATCAGCAGAACACAGTTCGACACCTTAGTAAGAGATACACCATCACTGTTCAAAAAAGTTACAATGCTATTGGAAAGATAAGCAGTATATGTAAACAATGGCAAACGCTAAAAGAGTCATTCAACAGAGATCAAAAGAAAAATTACTAGAATTAAAGAAGATAGCAAAGAAAAAGAATGGATGACAGAGGACATTTTACATCTGATGGAAATAAGAAGAAAAAAAAAACACAACCATGAATATCAAAGAATACATAGAGAGATTGTGTGTAAATGTAATGCAGCGAAAGAAGTATGGCTAAATTATGAATGCAAATAAATTGAAGAACAAAGAGAGAACACACAAGACATGTATAAAAGAACTCATAAACTATCAGGTTTAAGAAACATTACTAAAAGTGCTTGAAAAAAAAAAAAAATGTGACATATTGTTGGACATGGAGAAGGTGACTGAAATATGGACAGAGTATATAAATAGCTTCGTCTCCGCCTCGAGTGCTGGAGGTCCCCGTAAAGGCTGTGATTTTTTTTTTACGTAGACTTTTAATAATTTTCACTGGTCTCTGGGTAGTAAGATCAGACGCCCGTGTGTATTCTTGGGCACGTAAAAAAAATCCCTTGGCAGTTGGAAATCGAAAAAAAGTAGCCTAACGGCTATGCCAGGGCAAAATTTGACATGAAAATCAACCCAAAGGATTTCGGGATCCTCGCCGGTGCAAAAGAGTTCTAGCACTGCGCCTCGATTCTTCAGACTCAGGCTTGAGTAAGAAGTAGAACGGGACACTTATGGGTTGCAACTGTGTGCCATGATGTTGATCCGTATAATAAACAAATAAAAGAGCTATACGATTATTACAGCAGACCAGACATAGAGAGGCGGGAGTATTGGGAGGGATCGCCAGTATTGAAAGCACAAGGGGAACACATAATGAACATGAAAAAATGTTTATCTCCAGGGCCAGATGACATCACGATTGAACAATTAAAAGCTGCTGGTGGACTGGGTTTAGAAGTTGTGACAAAATTGTTCAATGATATTTATAACAGTGGACATTTACCTGATGACATTTTTATATGTCTTTTCTTACTTTGACCAAAAACTCCTGGTGCAGTGGAATGTGGAGACAATCGAACAATAATTTTAATGAGTCATGTCTCTAAAATTTTAATGAGTCATGACTCTAAAATTTTAATGAGTCATGTCTCTAAAATTTTAATGAGTCATGTCTCTAAAATTGTAATGAGTCATGTCTCTAAAATTTTAATGAGTCATGTCTCTAAAATTTTAATGAGTCATGTCTCTAAAATTTTAATGAGTCATGTCTCTACAATTTTAATGAGTCGTGTCTCTAAAATTTTAATGAGTCATGTCTCTAAAATTTTTATGAGTCATGTCTCTAAAATTTTAATGAGTCATGTCTCTAAAATTTTAATGAGTCATGTCTCTAAAATTTTTATGAGTCATGTCTCTAAAATATTAATGAGCTTGATTTTGTTGAAGGTAAAGGCACAAACAAAGCCATATTAATCTAGAGAACACTTTCAGAAACAATGACTGACATGGATAGTATCTGTATTTGTGCTTTATTGATTACACCAAAGCATTTTATAAGGTAAAACATGAAGACATTTTTAGAGTTTTTGAAACCTTAGACATTGATGATAAAGAGCTGAGAAAATTACAAAAATATAAATACTGGCAACAAAAAAGCAGCCATAAGGATTGACATTCAAGTTGTCAACCAACTTTTCCAAACATTAAACAAGGCGTTTAACAGAATGTGCACTATCACCTGATTTATTCAATTTATGCAGTGAAATTATAAACAGGTTTGTACATGATATGCCAGGAATAGCGGTTGGTTGGCATATTGTCTACAACCTGCGATATGCTGAGGATATTGTGTTGATAGCTAAAAATAAAACACAACTACAAGAAGTGATGCGTATAATTGTAAAGAAAAGTAGAAACAAGGGTCTTAGTTTAAACAGTAGGAAAACAGAAGTAATAGTAATTACAAAGAAAACTGACCCTAAAAAGTGCAACATCAAAGTAAATGGGACAAACCTCAAGCAAGTTTATATGTTTAAATACTTGGGTACCCTGATAACATCAGAACATTACAACCAGAACTTTCCGCCTGAGTTTGCAGCCGTTGACTACCCAAAAAAAATTGTGTTTGGTTCTTTATCCAAGTGAATGCGTATCAAGGAGCCTCTAGGGCCGACCGCCCAGTAAGCGGCTATCCTCTGAATAACGGTCCCAAATTATCGAGGCCGAAAATAAACCCTAACAGAGCCTCAGTCACATGTAAATTGCGGACTCTTCCGGCGACTACCCAGCATACCGCGAAAAACCTTCCGCTGAGTTAAAGTCATTAGCAGGCTAAACTGGATGGCTGGGACTCACGAGCAGCAGCTACCGCATCTCATGCAGCTTCCTCTATTGTATTTGCTCGTGAGTCCCAGCGATCTAGTTTAGCTTCACGCCGAGCGTAGCTTCGCAGGAGATACTGTCGGCGGTGGCGCTATAGTCGCCGGAAGAGGTCCGCAATTGACATTTGACTGAGGCCCTGTTAGGGTCTATTTTCGGCCTCCATAATTTGGGACCGTTATTCGAAGAATAGCCCAGTAAGCAATGGCAAACTACTAAACGTAAATTTGCCTAGAAAAACCACAACAGCGAAAAAATGCTGGTGTTGATTCTGCAGTGTCCTGTAAAGGATACGCAACTAAATAACAGCAGTATCTATCTAGCAACAACTGCTAATATATTGAAGCTACTTGCCAGGAAATTAAGCAGTATTTAGTAGCTGCTTATAAATTTGTCAATTTACCAATAAATGCAAACCTAACAACATTTAGCTACAAATATTAGCTGTTTAACAACATATGGCAACATCCACAGGGGTATCGTGTTTACAGAACTGATGAAGCTGTACCCCACACACGCCTGCCGCGAGTACCTGGCCAACATCCCTCTGTTAGTAGAGCACTGTGGTTACAGGTGAGGGATTACAGTTTGCTTCTTAAGTGCCTTTTGCGGATCATGCATTGACAGCTATGGCTCTGGCTCTTTTTTTTTCCAGTTGGTTTGATATAGCGGATGTTTGAAGATGGTTGTTACATTCACTCATTCTAACCGAATCGCTAGTTAGTTCGTGCTCTCCCACTGTGTTATTGTTTTATCTTTATCGAACTCAAACATGAACTTTCTAAACCAATGTTTCCCAGCCTTATTGTACCATGCCCTACTTAAGCCTTTCTAAAATGCGTATGCCCCCTATGTAATTTATACATAAACTTTAACTCTTGACGAGTCCATTTCCAAATTGCCCACCTTACCAATCAAATTTCCCCCCCCCCCCCTCCGCACCCCCTTTTAACAATCAAATTGCCCTCTCCCTTTTACAGTTACATAGCCCCCCCCCCTGCTCCCCCCCCCCACCACCACCACCACCAAGACGCGTGGGCCCACGTTGGAAAACACTGCTCTAAAGTATCTTTTCGTCATAGACTGAGTCAAATAAATCATATTATGGTTTTGAATGAGTTACACAGCCCACATATATCTTTCTTTAATTTCCTCTGCCTGACTAGTTTACTACTTTCTCTCGCAACTATTGCATTTTTCTGATTTTTTTCCAATAATTTATTATGTCATTCACAAAGGTTTTTGTTTATGAGGATTATAAGATACAATGACAATTGATAGATAACATCGTAGCTACGTACCGCTCTTCCCACAGCTAAGTGAGAACACAAGCAGGAATATCTGATATATTTACAATCAGTATATGGGTGAGGCAGGGATGTGTGCTCTCTTTTCACTTATTTACAGCATATCAAAAGAAGCCATCTTTGAAGCAGAAAATCCAAAAGAAAGAAACTTTTACTTTCCAGAGGAAGATTTAGATCCACACACAATAAACGAGTTACTTTTGCAGACGATCAGTGCCTGTTCTACAATGAGACTGCAAGAACATTTGAACAGTCTAAGTTCAACATGCAGAAGATATATCATGAAAATAAATATTGCTGAGGTAATACAGATTCCTTGTCCGCTACCTATCGGGTAGAATGGTACTTGTCTGAAGCAAGTTATAAACAAATTTATATTTCTAGGAAGTATATTCTAGGAGGACAGGAGAATAGATCCGGAAATAGGAACAAGACATCCAAACATAAGTATGAGCTCGCAGAAACAGATTATAAACAGCATATTTATACCAACACTGTGCTACCAGTGTCAGATTTGGACATTATCAAGGGCTAACCTATGGAAAATTACCAACTGATGCCTGAGAAAAGCCGCCAACTTAACCATCCGAGATAAAGTTAGAAATGGTGTTATCAGACACACTGTAGGAACAACAACATGCAGCAAATTAATTGAGAAACGGAAGATCACATGGTTGGATCATTTAGTAAGCATGCAGCCAAAACAACTACCTATGCAAGCGCTTCACATGAAAAGATCTGAAGTGAAAGCTAAAGGCCGTCACAGAAGAATATGAATTGATGTCATTAAAGAACTTCTACATCGACACAGAATGACAATAGCCTCTACTGCCCATCAAGCAATGGATAGCAAAATATTCCTCCCCACAATGTTTAACGACAACAGTGGAAATTGACGATAATGACAGGAAGGTTTTGGCTAAATATCTAGTGAGAAGTGCCCTCGATCAATGTTTTTCCTTTAGTGGTCTCTGGACATTTAAGGGGTCTCTGATATCAGTTAAAAACAACCCTAACCTTTAAAGTGCAATCTCCCAGTGTGGGTCCCAGAGCAAGAATAGAGCCACTGCTTTCCCAGCAAGCAAGGCATAAGAGTCGACTAATTGGGGGCTTCCTTCGAAGTCAGAATGCATCTGCCTAATATGCAAGAAAGCAACAGTCTGCATACGAATAAGTCAGATATATAAAACTGATGTGCACACAACACTGAGGATCTGGAACAAGACTAAAGTCCAGAGGTGGATTAACAACTAAAACATTCCGCTGGAGAATAATGCCGGGGAAAGCAAAGAACAAGGAGAATGGAATCCTTTCTGAGATACACACACGCACACACACACACACACACACATATATATATATATATATATATATATATATATATATATATATATATATATATATATATATATATAATATCGGAGTCGCCGTGGCGTTGGCGGCTAGATACCCGCCTGTGGATCGGAAGGGCGTGGGTTTGCGTCTGACGAAGCCAGACTTTAAAAAAAAAAAGTTTAACTCCTAGTCGACCAAGCTTTGAGTGATGCAGTTCTATTAAGTAGAGACAGCCGGCGTGATGCAGACCACATCACCCACCAAGTACTGATTGGTCAATCAAAATATAGGTCTAGTCCTATATTCCCAATAGATCTAAAGGCGTGGAAAAGGGACCTTTATATATATCAATGATAATAAGTTCTTAAGAAGGACTATTAACCTGAATTAGAGTCTGTGGCAGAGCTAAGACAATAAAAGAGGTCGGCAGGTTTTAGAAAACACTGAACCACTGCACCGGACAGCCAGAATCAGTAACACAGACGTTTTATTTGAAATTTTCTAGATCCGACAACGTCCCACAACTGGAGGATGTATCTAGATTTCTTAAAGGTAAGCCTAAAATTATTTTATAAAACAATCAATAATTTACCAAAGTTCGACGCTTACCGGCACGGCATGTGATGACGATGGTGATAATGATAGTTATTCTCAAAGTTAGGGCACCCATCATGGTGCCAGATTCCATACTGCCCGTGAGATGTCAAGCCAGCACCTTCAGATTAGCCAGTGCTCGAGAGGTGATAAGGTCAACACCACCCCAACTGCCCGAACCTCTCAAGATATTCTTCTTGCCTTGATTTGCGGGGAATAAATCGTCACGACGAAACAACATTCCCGAAAGGGGGAGGGGGGGGGATATTTTGGTTATAATTGTGACTTAGGGTTTTTGCGCCATATAAAATAGCTTAACGTTGCTCCCCACCAAGTAGCCCTGACTAGGACTGTTGCGGTGTTGATGCAATCAAAAGAGAGAAACCCATATACTATCCCGACCGGCAACGAAGCCGTCTACTGGCGAGCCTATGGGTCACCCGGTGCCGATGATGTTCAAGATTTTCCACTTTTAAGATTGATCCATTGGACGTGGGGCCACTACTGCCCTACTCCTGCTCTTGTGCGCGGTTGTAGGTTACAAGAAAAGAAGATGATGATGAAAAAAAAGAATAAACTGGGACTCTTCAAAATGACCTGAGGGCCTTCTTTATAATTCAGTCATTGTTTGTGAGCGGTTTTCGTTTCTATCCTTTTGTGGCGTGTTGGTACGCCTGGCCATTCCTTGTTCGTGATTTCTGCTGCACTGGCTGTTTGGGAGGGGAAGTTCTAAAAGTCCTGAAAAGGACAATTAGGTAGTGCCTGGGTCGGCCTGGATCGGGTGGGCGGGAGAAAATGCTCTGGATTTTATTTTCAAGAAGCTGGGTAAAATTTGGAGCCTCGTTGTCCGTACAAAAGTGTCTGTCTCCAGAAAGATTGGAGCCTATAATCATAGCTGAGACAAAACATTGCTTGTGGCCAAAATGCTGGCTAATTTTGATTGTTTTATAATCTGAACACTCTTTGCTTAAATCCTAGTTAATGTGCTTGATTTGAGTAAACATGGCAGATGACAGAGTAGTAAAAAGTGTATACACAAGCGAGCTGATGGATCAAAAGCCAAGAGGCCGATCAAGAAGACGATGGAGAGATAATGTCCCAGACAGACCTACAAACACTTAGTGTCACCAACTTGAGGGAGAAGGCCAACCAGAGAGATGAGTGGAGGCGGGTACATACATACATACACACATCCACAGTCACAAACACTTAGACACACAGAGACATTTACAGACACACACGTAGACAGATACACGCACTAACAGACAAACCTAGACACACACACAGATACATTCACAGACACATATAAACACTCAAAGATCCACACTCAGAAACACATAGACACACATACATACAGACATCCACACACACACACGTAGAAACACACACGCAGAGTCTCAGGCAGACACACATACACAGAAACAAACAGATAGACATACACATATACAGAGGCACACACGCAGACACACACAGACACACATGGTCAAACACTCACAGAAAAACACACTCACAGACACACACATGCAGAATTACACACAGACACTTAGGCATACAAACACGCAAACACACATACGCAGACACAGACACACATACAAACATACACACGCAGACACATACAGACACAAACACACACACAGATAAATACGCACAGACAAACACACAGACACACAGATACACACAGAAACAGATACCAGACACACATACAAACACGCAAAAACACACATGCAGACACACACAAACACACACATAGAGACACGGACACATGCATGCAGAAACACACGCATACACACACGCAGACACATGCACATAAGACGAAGAAGAAGAACAAGAAGTAAAAGACCCAATATTGCTTGTAGCCTAAGTCCTAGTTGGCTTATTTATTAAACTAAACAATGTTTGCTTATATCCAAACTATTTGCTTGTTTTCGTGTACTCGCAGAACGGACAGGATTCACTTTGCGACCAGTGGCTGGCTACCTGTCTTCTCGGGATTTTCTAGCCGGCCTGGCCTTTCGCGTGTTCCACTGCACCCAGTACATCAGGCACAGATCGGATCCCTTTTACACCCCAGAACCGTGAGTGTGCAGACAATAATAGCAGCCACGTCAGACATTGTCAGTTTTATGATAACATCAAACTGTAGCAACCTCCACACAAAGACACACTGAGGTTGTTTGGAAGGGCCAGGAGCATCTGAGCCCCAACACCACCACACCCTTTTTTTTTTAAACCTGTTTCTCTTCAAGGGCGGGAGCTTAACGGGCATGTGCCTCCTTCAAGTGCGCAATAATATTAATTTGTTTGTTATCCCCGCCTCTTGGTCTTTCCAGACGATAGTGTGGTATTGTGCATAAGAGAGGCATGGGAGTCACGGGTCTTTGCGATAATAATATTCAATAATAATAAAAATAATGTGCAACAGATACCTTATCTACACGATTATGGTGGCCGCTTTGCCTGCATACACATTTTCTAAAGGACGAGTGGAGCCTGTGTTCTGAGCTCCCTTTCCAGATTCTGGTGCCTCTGTCAGTTTATTCATTATAATCAACTCAGAGTGAGTTATTAGATAGTTCTGAAATGAAAAATGCTTTTCTAAACAGCAAACACGGCTGACGGAGTGGCTAGTGAGCTTGGTTCTCTTTTTCTATTGTCTTTTACCACCAGGACATCACACAAGCGATAAACACCTGATGACACAAAGTGCCACCATGTGGATGAGGATTACCCGCGGAAAGATCCCCAAAACCGCGTTCAGACATTAGACCATATTTATAGCTGGGCTATATTGCGGCCGATTTGATTTTAAGTTCGACCACTTTCAGACTGCTGCTAGCTAGCCGAAGCTACTAACAGTCTCCGTCTATATTTTTGGTCTGGGTTATTTGCGTCACTTTCGTGACTAAAGTTTTAGTGTTTGCGCCGTCTCTGGGCTTGATGCTTCCTTCCTTCGAGTCAGACCGCTCGTTCTCTGTCCAGTTGTTAGCTGTGTTCTTCTTGCCTTCTCCTTCCAAGTGTTTCCTCCTTGGTTTCATCTCTCTGTGATTTGACCAGGTGTATTTCGTAGGAAAGCGAGCTTTTATACATAACGTCCCTTGGACCACTATTTATAGTTTTAACATTGTGAGTATTTTACTTTGCCAAAAAGGACTGAAAACATTTTTTTGTTTCGGATCGATCCAAAATGTGATAGTATTTCGCGTGTGACCATAGTGGTCCTATAGTTGTCTTTCTGCAATAAGAACGTGTTAGTCATGTCGTGGATATGTGTATGAAGTGTTAGGTGGAGTCTCACAGTTATTCTATTCGTCATTTGTTATAGTGTGATCCGGTTGTGTCGGTTTGGGTTGGTAGCTAGCCTCCAGTGTACGTCTGGAATACCCAGCTCACGCTTTGAGATCCAAATATTCGATGATGAGGATTGCTGTGGTATGTTGGGTACGGAACTCAAGTGCTCTCCGGGGGATGGGGTGGGGTATTGTACTAGTAGTGCATCTGGAAGAGGAAGGAAAGGGTGAGGGGGAAAGAGGGAAGCCATTGAGTCAGTCCTCGTCTTTGCCGTCTTGTTGGATTCTAGCGCGGCCTTTAGTCGGGATTATACGTATCACCTCACCAACCTTTGCTATCAGCTCACTGATTGGGGAGGGGGGATGGAATTGGTGGTTAGTGGTCTAGTACTGTCGGTATCGATCCACCCGAATTCCCTATTTGCAGTGAGTCATATCCTGTTGTGAGTCCCACCTGGCATGTTTATGTTTACGCATGATGTGGAAGGAGATGGTACTGAGTATGATTCCCCGGAATATATGGACGCACACAACTAAGTGTATGCGTACATACACTCGAGCATTCATGCACTCAGACTTCATGTTTGCACTTCCTTTTATACTTATCCGTGGATGCACACCTATAGAGAGTAGGGCTTCAAATAATGACAAATTGCATCCCACGGATTATTGATCCCAAATGGTAGTCATTGGCATTCCTCTTAACCAGGTCGTCTATGGTTCTGGTGCATCCACAAGGCGTCAATTCCTGCCGCACGACGTGTCTTCTCACCGCTGAGACACCAGTTTTTGGTTTGTTTGCGTGTGTGTGTGCGCGCGCGCGTGCGCGTGCGTGCGTGCATGTGTGTGTGTGTGCGTGTGTGTGTGTGCGTGTGTGTTTCTTTTTTTTCTCGGGAATTCCATCTCAGTTTAAGCAATGCTTTCGCATATATCGTTAAAATACATATTTACCTTTAACTTATAGCGCGCAATTTTAATATATAATTTATACTAAATTGTTTAATTATGAATGTTTACCTAATGTGCTAACTTAAAGGGATCATATTGTTAATATTCAGTTGACTTTTTTTTTTTGTATTTAAAAAATCGTAGTAAATAAACTAATATGACACGTTAAAACTCAGTTGACTGTCTTTAAAATAATTATGGTACATGGGTTAAAACAGAGCGTTAATATTCAGTTGACTGTCATTAAAATAACCAAGGTACATGGGTTAAAACAGAACGTTAATATTCAGTTGACTGTCTTTGAAATAACCATGGTACATGGGTTAAAACAGAAAGTTAATATTCAGTTGACTGTCTTTAAAATAAACATGGTACATGGGTTAAAACAGAGCGGTAATATTCAGTTGACTGTCTTTAAAATAACCATGGTACATGGGTTAAAACAGAGCGTTAATATTCAGTTGACTGTCTTTAAAATAACCATGGTACATGGGTTAACACAGAGCGTTAATATTCAGTTGACTGTCTTTAAAATAACCATGGTACATGGGTTAAAACAGAGCGGTAATATTCAGTTGACTGTCTTTAAAATAACCATGGTACATGGGTTAAAACAGAACGTTAATATTCAGTTGACTTTTTCAAGCGACTGCTGCCATGAGCTGATGGGGCATGTTCCCTTGCTGGCCGACTCCTCTTTCGCCCAGTTTAGTCAGGAGATTGGGTTGGCCTCGCTTGGAGCCACAGACAATGATATTGCCAAATTGTCTACGGTACGTATTACTTCTTTTGTCATCTAAAACAAAGGGTAAACGATGGACCTTTTAGCCCTAGAGGCACACCAGGCATCCGGTTCATTTTTTCCATTGCTCTGTTGTGCTATTATATGTCACATAGGGCAGGCTGTCTATTCTCCCATTCCGTTATGTCCTGTGCAATCCGTTTTATATCGCGGATGGAATTCGTCTAGCCCCCTGGCTTCTCTAATCAATGTTCGTCTTAGGGTTTCTTTAGGATCTCCTCGTTTCCTAAGTCTCTCTATCTCCCATTAGAGTGCCTGTTTTGTTATCAATTTTCGTTTCTCTTCAGTTATAGCGTTATCTTAAGTTTTTTTTAATTAATATCCTACCCCCAGATGACGTTACAGGACAGTCCAACATTTTAGAGGGTGGTAAGACTGGATTTCCCGGCTTTCTGATGCTTTTAACGACCCCATAACATCTAGAACTGGCACTAATCCCAACCCACCTACGTCCCCCGACAGAATGTAACCTAGGTCCCACGACTGCATGCAGCCTATCTACCATTCTCTGAAATATTACATTGTCACGTGACCTGTGGATTTCCCCTGTTTGGGGTAGGATATTTTTAAAACACCTCATCCTCTTTGTCTTATAACTATTGTTACCAATGGCTGCCCAGACATTTCTCTTATTTCTTGACCCTAATGAATTCAGCCCATTTTATCTTCGTAATTTTCCTTAAGCGTAGCATACGATGCTAGACTTAAATTTATAAAGACCAATCAGTTCTCGGTGGTTAGTGCAGTCAACAGCACGCCAGCAGACTTTAGTTCCTAGGATATGATTAGATTCAGGAAAATGACGAATCGTTGACGCTAACACGATTGTGTGACCTTGCAGCAGAGCTTAGTGAAGCACGTCTATGCCGTCCTCGAGGTCAAGACAGGGGACACTATAATCAGCTTCTCATGGGAACAAAAAGTAGAAGTGAAGTGGCTGCTGCAAGGGAGGACTGAGTACTCACGAGAATACCCAATGTACAGTGACGGCTATTGTTATAAGTTAGTATAACATAGCTTCCTAGGTCACTACTTGGTACCTGTTTAAAACTGAGTCGACATGGAAGCTAAGGTCAAATTTGAGGATGAGGGCGGGAAGGGGCGCAAAATCGGCTCGACGCAAATTAGCAGGACATATGGACAGTGGTGAAAAGTTGCAAGCTAGCATGGTTCGGGCACATGGTGAGACATGATTCCATTGCTAAAACTGTACTTTAAGGAACATGGGGGTAGAAAGGGGAGGGGGTGGAAGAAGAGAAGGGCAAAGAGGAACTTGGAATGACAACATCAGGCAATGGACAGTACTTTATCATACACTTTTTCATCAAACAAAAGACAGAGAAAGAAGGCGAGTTTTGTGTGCAAGTGCTTCAACCGACACACCTTCAGGACTCTAACGTGTCAAGGGTTATGTTAAATTGGAGCCACAAATCTTTGGGGCTGGCAAGCTGGCGTCTAGCCACTATATCACAGCAATTCCGTTATTTGTCAGGATTTAGTTTAAAATATTCAACATATGACCTCTATCATCATTCTTGTTTCCTGTCCTTTATCCTCCAGTGGAGCATAGGGCATCAACCAGTTCACGCCAAGTCGTCTAAATATTTGCTGTCGTGTAGAACCCACCTGATGCCCTACCCATTTATTTCCCTTCACGCTTTCTCTCTTTTTTTTTTTTTTTTTTTTTTTGCGTTTTTTTTTTTTTTTTTAGAATAAAGTAAGGGACCCCTTTATAGTTTTACTCTAACAAAAGAGTCAGAATTTTAGCATAACAACAATTAAAAATTTTACATAACCATAACATTTATTACTATAACATAACAACTGTAACTGTAACATAGCAATAATTACTTCAAAGCTGCAGTCATCAATTTCACATATCATGCATTACTTTCACACAACATTCGTTACTTTATCATAACTACATTAACTTTAACGTAACAATTATTACGTTTACATAATTATCATTGCATTAACATATTAGTCAATACTCTATCATCAATACTTCAACATAATAATTGATATTTCACCATGACAAGTATTTTTTTTTAACATTGCAGTCATTACATAAATATAAAAGGCACTATTTTAACGTAACATGCAATACTTTGACTCAATATTCATAACATTAACATAACAATCCAATTTTTAACGTAACAATCATTTCCTTTAAAAAAAAACAGTCATTACTTTAATACAATAGTCATTACTTTTGTGTAACAGCAGTTACATAAGAGTCATTATTTGAACACGCCGCTCATTACTTTAAAATAACAGTAATTACTTTATCATAACAGATTTTATTTGGACGTTTACAGTTTTTGCGTTTAAATTAACACTCATTATTTGAACATTCATTTTTTACTGTCATACAACAATTTTTTTTTTGTTTTAACATAACAATCGTTACTTTAACACACCACTCATTACTTTACTATTGCAGTTATCTAAAAGTTAACTGTATATTATCTCTTCTTGCAGTGCTACTTTTTCTCGGTAGAGTTCGGGCTCTGCAAGCAAGAGGATGAACTCAGAGCGTTCGGAGCTGGCTTGCTGTCTTCCATCAGTGAATTATCCGTAAGTAGATCAGCTTTGTCGTCCTCTGTTGCTTGGTGGTTGCGAACGCAGCTTTTAAGCTCGCGATATTCATTTCGATTCTAGCTGCGAATAATTTAGGTGCAGACTTATTTGAGTTGATTTCAACTGACAGATTAATTATTTCCTTCTGCGCTGCTATCTAAAGGTTAATCAAAACCATATAGGATTACAAAAATCTCAGCCTGGATGACACACCAACAAGGTAGATTCCGGATAGCCCGTTTAACCTCTAAAGATGTTATAATAAGGGCAGCCGCAACGATACACTATCCAGGTGTCACCTTCAGACTTTCACGGGTAAGTAGAGAAAACCAGGTTCGGGAAGCGTGGCGATATTGTGGCTAGATGTTCTGCTTTCATAACGGCGTCGAAGCCGGTAAATAATAAATTCAGGCAGGCTAGACAGGTGTGAAAGATTGGTTATTTAGTTAGGTAATTAGTTAGTTAACTAGCTAGCTAGTTAGTTTAGTTCAGTTTCATTAGTTAGTTAGTTAGTTAGTTAGCTAGCTAGTTAGTTAGTTAGTTAGTAAGTTAGTAAGTTAGTTAGTTAGTTAGTTAGTTAGTTAGTTAGTTAGTTAGTTAGTTAGTTAGTTAGTTAGTTAGTTGGTTAGTTAGTTAGTTGGTTAGTTAGTTAGTTAGTTAGCTAGCTAGCTAGCTAGCTAGCTAGCTAGTTAGTTAGTTAGTTAGTTAGTTAGTTAGTTAGTTAGTTAGTTAGTTAGTTAGTTAGTTAGTTAGTTAGTTAGTTAGTTAGTTAGTTAGTTAGTTTGTTAGTCGACAGATCTTCCTCATTACACATCAGACAAGACCATAAACGCTCAGATCCCATCTACGGTATATCCCTCAGTGTGTGGCGACTGATAACTACAGTTCTGTGTTGGTTTGCTAGTCTGGCAACATCTTTTTTGACCTGAAGTTCTTTTGGTCTTTTAAATGTTGCCGACTCACCGTTGTATCCTAAATCATCTTCTTGTCTCTCCTAATTGATAATGTCGTCCCGGTTCATTGATTTTCTGTACCTACTTGGCTCTCCAGCTAGCCAATCTGCCCATTTATTCCATTTTACCACAGAAAGCCCTGGCACAAAACAAAAATGAAACTGGTTCCTTTAGAGCCAGATTTCCTCAGCGTCTCCAACCCTTTTGTTCGAATACATTCTGTCTTGATCTTCTTAGAAATCAGGCCTGTGAAAAATTATGTCTCTAGCTACACCACTGCTTTAGTTGTGAAATCTGCCAATGCTTATATCGTGCATCTCTTCCTCCAGCATGCTCTAACGGACAAGGCAGTGAAGAAAGTGTTTGAACCACTCCACACATGTACCCAGGAGTGTCTCATCACCACCTTCCAGGACGTTTACTTCTACACCGACAGTTTCGAGGAAGCCAAGGAGAAGATGCGGTAGGTTTTTGTTGATTGTATTCATTGCAATATGTTCGTCCTACGGTAGACTCCCTTGATGGGAGAAAGCGAAACAAAAAAAGAGGAAAAGTGGGAAGAGGAAGCCTAGTAGTAGTAGCGGTAGCAGCAGTTGTTGTTGTTGCTGTTGTTGTTGTTGTTGTTGTTGTTCTTCTTCTTCTTCTTCTTCTTCTTCTTCTTCTTCTTCTTCTTCTTCTTCTTCTTCTTCTTCTTCTTCTTCTTCTTCTTCTTTTTCTTGCTGTTAAAGGACCCACACACACACACACAAAAACGAATACTGCTTAAATAAAACCTGCTGCTGCCACAACTGTTACTACAATAAGAAAGACAAAAATTACTAATAACAATTTGATAAAGAAAAAGAAGAAACAGGGTGAGGAGGAGGATTATAAAGATAAAAAAGACGAGGGGAGCAGAAGGAGGGCAGAACGAAGGTGGAGAAGAAGGGGAGGAGAACAAAGATAAAGAAGACGGGATAGGGCAGCAGGAGGAGGAGAACAAAATTGAAGAAGACGAGGGGGACAAGCAGGAGTTGAAAACAGATAAAGAAACTGGAAGCTTGTAATCAGCGATCTTTCAGGCTGTACCATCTACCATCTAGATGCAAGGGAAAATATCTAGATCTGCATGTAAAACATCCAAAGTGGCAACACTGGCGGCTGCCAAACATAGCTCTCGCGCTTCCCTCCATGCACATGTGGTGGTCGGCGTTACCGTGAATTTCAAGCAACACCTGCTTCACAAACTTAAAGTAGCTTGTGTATTTTGCACGAGCCTCTATCGTCCTTCCCATAAATACTATGTGCTCTCACCCGGCCTGACAGCTATGGTATACTGGCATACTCCAATCAGTCAGCACACAACAATGATGACAAGGAAATTTCCCCTTTCACCGCGGCGGCCGGAGTTCGATGCCCCGCTGGGAAACCATAGTGCGAATGCACAAATAGATCATTCCTGCTACACAGCAGGAAGTGCCCAGGAGATCTGGCGAATACTTAACACTCAGAGACAAAATTCCTGAGTGTGAATACTTAACACTCAGAGACGAAATTCCTGAGTGTGAATACTTAACACTCAGAGACGAAATTCCAGAGGAATGTATAATCAAATTGCTACTGGTACCATCGGGATTGGGACCCTGCGCTGTTTTTTGAAAATGGAAAGTTCCGTGAGCTGTGCTGTTTTTAACCTCAACGATCGCTCTCTATTTTAATCATTTCAGACAGTTTGCCAGCACCATAAAACGGCCATTTGCTGTCCGCTACAACCCCTATACGGAGACAGTAGACGTCCTTGACAGCACCAGATGTATTGCCACGGTGGTCAGTGAGCTCAAAGGCGACCTCTGCATCGTCAGCGACGCCCTCAAACGCCTACAGCTGATGGAAAGCTTCAAATTTCAAGACTGAAGACAAACTGTAGTTTTTGTCTCTTTAATCCAATCAGATTCATTTTTTTAGACTTAAAGTAGTAGTCTTGTGTGATCCAAAAAGGCATAACCTTTTTTCTGTACCCTACAACTCACATTACGTTGATTTATTAATCCAAAGATATGATACGTTTGTTACTCTTGTATCATTGTCTGTTATTATATTAATTCTAGCAAGATTGTTAGTTTCTTTCAAAACTTATTCTGGCTAATAAACCAGCTGTTGAAAACTGAAATATCTCAAATCAGGAAAGAGGTCAATGATCCCTCTGACTCCAGTGGCCACTCAGGCATGTAATGCCAGACATATATTTGTATAAGCAAACTGGCACTCTGTGGGTGATGTGGTAGACAACGTGCCGGTCTTTAGTTTAAACATCTCGGCAAGATGACAATGTTCATTTGCACAGTCTGCGTTGATCGCACTTACCATATCACAGCACCCTCTCTCCTACACTGTCCTAAAACGGTATAATCATAGGTAGTATGTGGAAGTTTTTCAGACTGTGATAGATCATTGCGGTAAATTTTCACCCAGTGGTAGATTCTGCATCACAAGAAGGCCAAATCAAATTTATGGTTTTTATTTATTTTACATATTGTTACAGAACAATATAAGAACTGTCAATGTCAGATGATAGTTTCATTTGCTTTTTTTTTTTTTTTTTTGTTCAACGAATGTAAATTTGGCAGATTTGACTCTAAGATATTGCTTGTTCGGTGTCAGACCACTACAACAAAAGCATTCCATATAACCGTCGAATCATCTCAATTACTTTCATCTCCTGGTTCCATTTTCTTTATTCTCTTCTTTGCTACACTTGTGTGTTTATTGATTCCATAAGTATGTTCCAACGGATCTAGCCAGGTTCTGCACGAACCACTGTCCACTGTTCGTGGAGTCGCCTTTACCTTTGATTTAGAGCATGAAGAAGTTGATGGTAATGAAAGCTTTTACTGTATTGGTTTTATCACGTCGAGCTTGTAGACAACAAACTATGGATCTCGCAGGCATTATCAATGCACTTGCAGAGAGATTAGTCGCTTGTTTCGACAAACTTTCAAGTAAGCAGTATGTTCCTTTTCCCCTACAACATGGGGCCTGAGTAACCACATTGGAAATAAAGGTGACGATATGAAGACTTCTGAGGTCAGTACTTCAACATTGTTTATCGGCGCCCATTCGCTCGCCAGAAGACGACTTCGTCGCCTGTCGGGACAGAATTTGGGTCTGTCTCCTTTGATCGCATCAACACTACAAGAGTCCTTTTCATGGCTTTTGGTGGTGTGCAATGGTAAGCTATTTTATATGGCACACATAACCTAGTCACAATTATAACCTAAAGCTTCCTTTTCATGGATGCTGGTTTTAGTTAACGATTTTTTTTTCTCCAAAAACGTGGATGGATAGATGGATGGTCTAAACTGTTGCTAAGAATGATAGATTTATATGGAAAAGATCAGCACAGCTAGGCTGAAGGGGGAAACTAAACGTGTGAAAGAGTTTGTCGGTCAGCATAGAACTGGTGCTGTTAGCTGCAGGACGTTACTGGGGGGAGGGGGGGGGGGTTGTGGGAGCATAGCACTGTAAAAGTCGTAAAAGTCAACAGAAGATTGAGAAAACTGTCTAGTACAGTAGCACTCATTTTATTAAACTTGGATAGCCATCAAAGTCGTACTGATCAAGAATATTAACTGTCCATGTGTTGTGGGTTGAATCCTGACCAATTGTCTCAGTACACTTACCGCTATGAAATTACAATTGTATAAAGCCATTATCAAGTTCAGCAACAGATTAGATTGTATCAGAGAGTTACGGTTACATGTAGAAGGTGCATTCTGAATATAATCAACATTGGTAATTTGATAAACATGTGTATTTTCTTCCTATAGTCCACCTGCAAGATGTTGATCATGTCTGTTCACTGCCTTCTGTCTCAGGTACTGTAGATCAGTTCTGACACAGATGTTCTTTCATGCCGTCTCACTGACTGTCACACACCATCTCTCTTGGTCTTCCCCTGCCTCTCCCCACACCCAAATTTCCTTTCGTCACTATGTATTTCAGTTTTCCCCTTCTCTGTTATGTACTCCGGTTTTGTGTCTATCTTTGCACTTTATAAACGCTTTTGTTGTGTCCGCTGAGTTTTATGGTTACAGTTTGTATTGTATTTAGTCTTCTTCTTCTGGCTTTATTGTATTCAGCACTTCAATGATCAAGAATTGTGTCGAATTTTGTGTTGTATTTGTACGTGTCTTTCTCATCCCCTCCTCTAAGCTTTTTAGTCAGACCCAGTTTGTGTTGTACTTGCTTGTTTTCAGCTTGACAGCGCTCACTCCGGTCTACGTCATTCTGTTTTTCCCTTTTAATGACGTGCCAAATAAATGTGCATTGTCTTTTGTTACGTTTTCACAGTCTGCTTCACTACACACCGGACATTCCAACGCAGGCTCAGTCCTCCTGTATGCAGACATTCAAAAGTATTTCTACTGATCATACTCTGTGTGCGTAAGCAGTTCTCAGTGTGAGGTAATTTCGTTCAAGCAGCACCGTGTCGTGCTATGATGCAGAGATGCGGCCACATCGGGCGGCACCGAAAAGGGGGTAGCATCTGCAGTGAGATCAAAATAGTTTGAACCAGTGTTGCCACTTTTCTTTGACGAAAAAAACATCCAAAATGGAGTTTTAAAATATCTAAAAACATCTAAATTTGCGTGGAAAACATCCAAATGGAAAGAGTCACAAATTGCATAGCAATTTATATGAATTACCCTAAAGAATCATGTCCTCATCTTTACTGAAGTCTGCCTTACAAGATTCACAGGATAAACTTAGCTTGGATGATGAAGTTGAAGCTTCAGATCCAAAATGACTCGGCTATGCTTTAGCTGTTCCACTTTTCTTTTAATACCCAATCAGGGAGCTGATAAGTGGAACAGCCTTTTCCTACTCTTATGAGGCTGAATTTTATTGTTAAGATAGCATTTAAGAGGTCAAATTTCATCCTGTTTCTTAGTTTAGATTTGATAAATTCACGCTACCATCTAAACGTGAAAAACGCCATCTAAATGCAAGGGAAAACATCTAAACTGGATGTAAAACATCCAAAGTGGCAAAACTGTATATATGCGTAAGCTGTTCTCAGAGTTAATTTCGTTCAAGCAGGGCCGTGTCGTGCTATGATGCAGAGATGCGGCCACATCAAGCGTCAACGAAAAGGATGTAGCATCAGCAATGAGATCAAAATACAGTTTGAATTTTTGATCTGACAGCTCAAATCTTTTAGGGGCAACAATTGGAAAACTTGCATCAAACACAGAAAGTTTACCGCACGAGACTGCTTTGAAGACATCTGTTTTATTTGTTTAATCTCTTTGCGGTTTTCTCGTCGTGTTTCTGTACAATATCTTTGCATCTTCCACATAATTTCTCATGCAGTTGTTCAAGAAGATGTGCAATTTCTGTGATACGCAATAAAGCAACACGTGCTTGCATTATTTTTGTTATTATTATTTCTTTTGTCTTCATTTATTGGCAATTCAAAAAAAAATATATTTAAAAAAATGTATAATCATACTAATCGAAGATGTTGAGTTCAATCAAGTTTTCCATATTTCATTACCACAATAAACATAACAATGTTTACTTATAGAATCTGTGAGGCATCGACAACTAACAGACAATGTGAAAAGTATCTTATAGCAACTGCGTGATCTCGAGGCATGGTGACCGCCTCGAGTGCTAGAGGTTCCGGTTCAATCCCCGGTAAGGGCTGGGATTGATTCACGTGGACTTGGACTTCTAGTATTTTCCCTGGTCTCTTGGTAGTGAGATCGGACGCCCGTGTGCATTGTTGTGCACGCAAAAAACAATCAGTTGGCAGTTGGAAATCGAAGAGGGTAGCCTAATAGCACTGCCCGTGCAAAATTTGGAGTTAAAAATTTATCTTAAGTATGTTAGGATCCTCGCCGGTGTTACAGAGCATGTGCACTGTGCTGAGCCTCTTCGGACTCGGACTTAAGTTAGAAGAAGAAAGAACGGAGCACTTATGGGTTACTACCCGTGTGCCAAAATGTTGATCCGTTGTTCAAACTTCAAACTTCATCTTACAGCAACAGAAATTAGCTATCTGAGACTGACCAAAAAAAAATATTGTTGTCTGACAAGGCTGAAGATACATTTAGAGGTAAAGGTGAGCGGATTGATTCTGTCGAGAGCGCCGTACAAAGAACGACCTTCGTCCCTCTGGTGACGATCCCCAGTGATATCATTGAAACTGCAATTATGAACTGAACAGCGCCGCCGTGAAACGAACCCACGAACTTCAGAGCGCGAGGCAAACGACCCGACCACTTTGCCATGGAGATCTGAGTGCTGACATAGACAGACATGGTACTGTGTTCCATGGAACTGACGGAAACTGTAAACAGATCAGATAAACTGAATAGCAGCCACGACGTTTGAATGTGTAAAAGGAGCTAACAAAAAATAGAAAACTTGATTTTGTAGCAACTGGCAAACTTAATAGCAAAAGTAGAAACAGAATGACACATAAGATAGCATATAGAATCGACTTTGTTATGATGTCTAGCATGTCCCTTAGTCTATATGCCTTTATTTTCTGCATCTCTGTGTGTCAATCTTACGTTACAAATTGTTTATTATACTATTTCTGTTAGTCTCGAGAGTTCCCTGAAATATATTTGTAGTGTAAAAAGTGAAAGGATTTTGTCATTTAATTAAGCTGCAAACAGACAGTATACTACAATGAGCATCAGCGGCGCCGACATGAAGAAAACAGCTGATGGGAACTCCTTGCTAACTGTATGGGCAGAGATGGGTTGGGGGGGGGTGCTTTGTTAAAGTGCTAAATAACTACAAAAATAATAACAATAACAATAATAATAATGATAATGCGTGAAATTGCAAAAACATATACTATTTAGATAATACGATAGGTGTAGAAAAACAATTACAAA